TGGCCTAAATGCTTTACAAGTACTTTGCATTGTTAAAAAAGTATTAACAAAGCTTTATAGAAATGAGTAATCTTTAATAATTGGCTTCAGCTTCTCGGGCAGCGTGCAACTGCTTATTTTAGGAGAAATGCTCGGTGCAGCTTGAGAAAGAACAGCCAATCCCCCTGCTAGCAGAGGAATGAAGACCAGTAGGATGTAGTAGCAACTCAAGTATCCTTAATTTCAGACATCCTTGGTGACGTTGGCTTTCAGAACTGGAAGTGCCTGGATGTGACTGCATGCATACATGTGCACATTATGAAACAATTGATTGCTCAATGAGGATTTTTAATTAGTATTTTCTTTTTAAATGCTCCATTTACCCTCTTCACACAAGGTATTTTTGCCACGTGCAGTTTTTATTGAAGTAAACATACTGCCTTCAGTCAGCTCCCTCAAGCCAGTTCGGAGATATCTTGACCCTCTTTTATTTTTTCTCCTTCCCATGACTCATTCCTTTCATCCCACTTATGTTTTCTGAAATGAACTCTACGCAGTCGTATTGACCCCAAGAGTTACAGGCTCAAAGGCAGACACGAGGATGTATCAGATAAGAGCGCTATTTTAAGCAAAACATTTTTCTTAGGTCATATACTTTTTAGATTTCATGTCTTTGTAACAAGTAACGCTTCAGGTTACTAATCTTTTTTATACTCAGTGGATGAAATAAGTTATTGCAATGCAACTGTACTATTCAAGGTGAACCGTCTGTTGTTTTTCTCTTTGCTGTTTATGTTGTTTGGGGTCCTTCTTGCTTTTCCAGCCAGAGGATGAAAAATTGACCAAATGGTCTCACTTCTAATTAAATCTGTTAAGCAGTTCTGAGTTTTAGCTTGGCAGGAAAATGGCTGAAGGTTTCAATTTTTTAAGATCTTCATGAAAACAATTTACATACCAAAATCAATTGACATTTTCAGTCTATTTTCAGAAACTAACGCTAACTGTTCTGCAAAGCTGCAATATACCTGACCCCGGGGAAAAGCGGAGCTCATTTAGCCTATGAAAATCTGAGAGTGGTTTGCTCCAGCGAGGAGCAATCCTGGAGTCTTAAGCAAATGCTGCTCTTCCAAAAGTTTCAGTGAAGGAGCACCATCAGCTACTGCAAAGAGCACAAGGCTGCGTACGCTTCCTGGGGAGGCCCTGAGGAGGCAAAAGGAAGAATATCCTGAGGTCAGAAGTTTGTGTAGGTTTACTAAAAGGTAAAGATATATTATGCCTGGGATTGATATCTAACATTTAGGAGTGCAAAGTAGGTGGTATCTAATAGAAGAACTGATATTTCTTCCTTTCCCTCGGTGGTAAGGGGCAAGAGCAAGAGGTCATCCTTCTAGGAAGAACGCAGCCAGTTACCTGCCTACAGCAGCTCCACAGCGTTGCATAAGGCCTCATTTAGTAGCTGGTAATGAACTTAATTTAAGCATGCACGTCCCTGCCCTTGCCTCGCTACTCTGTGTTATGGACTTGCAAGTTTGCTTATGCTAAAGGGCAGAGCAAAAATAAATTTCCATACTCCCAGGCATGTTCCATCAGCCTGTGTCGGAGCATGGGCTGGTGTCCAAATAGTTTGGATATGAAGTGAATTTGGGCTCCAGGACAGGCTCAGACCTGCTCTTGAGATTGCACAGCGATGACACCAGGGTCCTGCTTTTGTATTTGCAGTTGACTGGCTGCCACCGCCGCGACCTGCAGCTTCCACAGCCGGGGTCTTGCGG